AACCCCAAAACCCCCAAAACCCCAAAACCCCAAAATCTAATATTGAAATTAAATATTCGAGAAAAAAAAAGTTTGCTTACTAATTTAAATATTTTATTCTCAATTTTCTTTATTTAAATATTTCATCTCTACTATAAATTCCAATGATTCCAATTAAATAGTAAGAAGTTTATAATTCTAAATTTTATTAAGGAAAAAGATTGATTGATCTATGGACAAGGACGCTGAACTTAACGAATCACTACTTGAAAAAGATTAAAACTTAGTGAAAACTTCATTTGCTATCAATAATCATGACAACCATTTAACCAATATGACATTTTTATCATCCAATTGGCATTATTATACAACGAATCCCCCCTCAATAATATATATACCTAAAGTTTATTGGGGTACAGCTCTCATGTGCTCTTTTATATGGGGGACTTCGAATTTTATCTATGGATTACTTCATGACAAGGGCTTTGCTGTGGTTTGTTTATCATGGACTGGCTTCATAACATCAGGTCTGATATACAAACTCTACATGCTTTTCACCCTTTCACCTCACCTAAATAGACATACCATTCACGATAGTTTCTTTGGCGAGGTAAGAAAAAGGGGTAACAATATTCACGTCACGATTAGATCAATCAATTTTTTCCTTCTAATTTGGATAGCTATTTTAATGGCAGAAAATACTCAAGCAGCTGGTATCAACCAAGGTGTAATTGCTTGTATCTTTTGCTTGAGTTCAGTAATTCAAGGGTACGCTTTCTACTGGTTATTCGGGGAAAAATTCTCCAAACATTTTATTTTAAGCATGATTATGATACTAACAGGAATAATGATAATCGTAGTAGAAGATAATCACCTATTATATAACTCTATGGAACTTTCACCTGTCAAAAAAAGTGAAAGTGATAAAATAAATTGTAAGTACACTGCTATAGTTTTAGCATTCTTAGCAGCTTTTATGAATACTGTCAGAGTTATTTAAGCAAAACACCTCTAAAAAAAGAGAGGTTACGATCCTGTTTAATTTCTAAATGATAGCGCTTTGGTCTGCGGTGTGTTCATGCTTGCAATATCAGGTTACTTCTACATGATTCAACACCCAGCATATACCCTTAAGAATTTCTTTATAAGCTTCATTGCTAGTACTTTGATGCATCTCTGTACTATGATGGGTATCATTGCAACGGTAAGAGGCCAGCCTGGACCAGCTTCAGCTATTATTTACTCTAACTCAGTGTTTTCCCTATTTCATATAATAGTATTTATTGGTCTTATTCCTACTATTTACTAATTTCTTGGAATGGGATTGACAATATTTGGAGTATTTGTAATGATGATAATCAAATGAGATTAATAATCTAAAGAATGAAATTATTCTGATTATGGAAAAGTTATCTTGTATTTAAAGCTTCATGCTCAATACCTGATATGAAATTTCCTCTATCAATATCAATGACCTTTTAAATTCTATCTATAAGCTAACTTCATATCTTGCATTAATTATTAAGAACGATGAAATCAACTTACCTGATTTTGAAGTGCATTGAGGGGTTTTGGGGTTTTGGGG